ATCATGTCTCATATACTTAGAGTTTGAGCATTCTATAGCTGACTGTCCTTCCCTCATGCAGTCAAAATTAAAATTTAATCTTCTGGGAGTTTTCCCTTCTTGTTGGCACTGCACATCTTAATTGTTTTTAAAGATATAGTATGAAAGCTGTACCTATTTTTTGGTTCTATAAAGAGGCATGCTAGCACATGCCAAAAGTGGGCGGTTCTTCAAATATTACATAATATTTTAGAAGAAAGAAAAAACAGCAAGTAATATACTGAAAAGAACCCTAAAAATCTTAAAATTTCTCCACTCTATCATGAGCCAGCTGTACATCCTTACACAAATCATTTCTCATAAAAGCAGCTTTAAAACTAGATGATCAAGTCAGTAAGCATTTTGTGACTACCCAAATGCAAGATACTACAATAGACTTGGTAGAGGTAAAGAGACTAAAACAAATAGATCATCTTGAAAGATTTTACAACCTAACAGGAAAAATAACATTTAAAATAAGCCAACTTTTCCTGTGATCAACTTCTTCTATAATGTGACAACACATTTTAAAGTTTCTCGGTAAATACAAGCTCTTCCCTAAGTGCTAGGATAAAGACATGCGGTACTGTGACCAGCTCTAATTAAATTTTATCGTGCTTTTAATTTCCCTACTGTTCTGTCACTGTCCATCTTCTATCTCATATCCTCACTTCTCTCCTCAAATAACCCATATTCACAAATGAAGGCTATTAATAAACTCCTGATGTACACACACCTTCAAGTCCACTGCATCTCTGTAATACTTCTGGAAAAATCTAAACCCTAGTTAAACTTCATATATTTCTTACCCCAAAAGTATCCTAACTGTTCTATTCTCTCCCTCCTTACTAAAAGAACTCTGATGTTACTCAGGAAGTTCACATACCTACTAAAGCACTACACTTTCCAGCCTCCCTAGCAACAAGATGATGTCTGTGACCAGACTATGTAAAGGTGAAGCCGCTGGGTAGGAGGGCTTGGGGAAAGCTCTTTGAAAGAGCTTTCAACTCAGCTGGCAGGCACTCTTCTGCTCAGTTCCTGGACGTGCTTCTAGAGAAGCAGCAGCTACCTCATACCACAAAGGGACAGGTGCTCTTGCAAATGTCTAAACAAACAAACAAACAAAAGGAATTTGTGTACTTATGTCATGGAGCTGCCACATGAGCTCAAGATTGCCTGTCTCCCATGTTTTTGTTACCTGAGGAAGATATATAGATAGAAAAATAGTTATCATAGTTGAAGTAAGTTAACAAATCTATTGTCCCATATAGTTACTCATTTTCTATTTGTTTTTATGGCAAGAGCAACTAAAATCTATTCATTTAGCAGAAATCTCAAATACCTAATTGGCTTAAGTCATTATTTGGGGGTCTCTACTATTCACGGTAAATGTAATTTTTGACTCTTAACCTGTTAGAGTTTATTTCTTGCACAGCAACGTGAGACTTTTTAAAATTGAAAATCAGACTATATTACTTTTTTCCCAACGTAACTAAAATAAATCAAGACTCTTTACTAGGTAAATGGGCCTTCTTTGACCTAGCCCTTCAACATCTCTCAACCTACCCACTTCCAAATGCCTCTACCACCTTCTGGCTCCATTTGTACAAACTACAATTTGTTAACTTTTTACAGCCTTTATAAAAGTTTCCATTGTCACTTAATGAGGTACACAAAATAAAAGGTATAATATGTTATACATCAAATTGGCAATAATGACTACTGTACAATTAACTTCCACCTACAATCCTTTGCTCAGGAGAAATATTTAAAGATGTTTCTCTTCCAAAGACTCATCTAAATATAGTAGTTACAAATGTACTTTGCTTTGTTTCAGAAAATTTGCATTCTAAAAGATATTTTTCTCTATTTCTTCATCCAAATTTAGTCTTTTAATTTTTTACAGCTTTATTGAGTCATATTTTACATATCATCCAGTTCACCTATTTCAAGAATATATATAATTCAGTGATTTCTAGTAAATTTATAAAGTTGTAGAACACAGCATAAATCAGTTTTAGAAATCATCATTCCAACGAAATTCTTCATGTCCTTTTACTATTAATCACTATTCCTACCACTCCATGGTCCAATGAACCACCTAGCTCTGAACATTTGTCTATTCTGGACGTTTTCTATAGTAGAATCATATAATATATGGTTTTCAGGCAGGCCATAGCTAAGGAAAAGACTGGAGAAAGAAGGGAGGAACTGGCCTGCCTTGGAGCCTGCTTTTGGTGCTAGACGTGCGGCATAAGATAACTAAGGAAACACCTGGGGAGAAAAGAACAGCCCACTTGGAACCAGCACATTTCAGGAACTAGATCCACCATCTGTGTTAAACATTAGCCGTGGACCAGGATGCCCAGATCTAAATACAATGGGAAAAAGTAACCAGGTAATTTAGCTTATACACAGTAAGTTCCCAGTATGTGCCCAGTGTTCTTCTGCAACCCTTGGCCTGACCCCCAACCCTCGTGACCAGGTTGCGGACTAGGCAGACTTGACCCCTGTGGCTTTGGTCACATGCCATGACAGTTCCTTTAAGGCCCATAAAAGGTCAAAGCCTCCACCACCTCACAAAAGGGCAGAGTAAAGACACTCACAAGCAGGAGTCACACCTCAGACCAAACCCTCACTCTCACCCCAAACCTTAAAGTTTAAAACCCTCAATGCCAAGCCCCTCAATGTTGTAAGCTCTTCTTACTGGCCCACTCCCACTCCATGGAGTGTAAATTGTCTTTTCTCTTTCAAATAAATCACTGATCCTCTTCTACTCTCTAGTGTCCTGCTCAATTCTTTATTTAGGACATCAAGAACCATGAAAGATCCCCACTCAGTCAGTTTCTTTTATCTGGCTTATTTCACTTCACATCTTTTTGAGAATCATCTACTTGGTACCATGTACTACCATGTATGAGTAGTTCATTCCTTTTCATTGCTGAATAGTATTCCTTTATGTGGATATGTCAGATAAGTGCCCTTAGATTTTTTTACTTAAATTTCTATTTTCCAGGTTGTACATATACAGGATAAATTGAGTACCTGGGATGGGAAAGAGGGATCCATAGCTAACTTGTATTCAACCCAAGTAACAAACGTGACTGTTTCTCCAACCCAATCCAATTGAAACAGAGTATAATTATCCTAGCTTCACTTAACAACCTAACATTAGCTCACTTAAAATGACTGCTCTATTCCGCCTTCCTAACAAGGACAAAAGCATTTTCTCAAGGATCCCTCCCCTTCCAGTTCTCTTACTATGCTGGTGCTTTACCTCATTTTTCTACTTCTAACTCCTTGTTTTCTCTTTAAGATCATTTTCAAACTGGCTGCTTTAAAATTTCCACATTCTCAAAGATTCTGAAAAGACATATTAGAAATAAATAGCCACATATTCTGAAATTTTATTTAAGAACCTGAGGTTCTTCTGATGTGATCCCTGCAAATAGTTCCTTTCTGTATAAAAAAAGTTTTGTAAATAATTTTAAGCCTCACAATATCAGTATGAAAGGATTACAAAGCTCCACGTCAACATTTAACACTCTCATTTAAAAGGGAATGTCAATCAGTATATAATAATTAAGCACAGGTTTCCATTATCTTTTCCATTTAATATGACCTTATTAAATATAAATTTTTCATTCAGTAGTCTACAAAATGCACAGTATCATCATCACCTCACTTTTGTTTTATGATAATGCCTGATTCAGATTAAGGAGATCATTTATCTTTATAAAATATTGAATATCTAACATAGAATTATTCCCTAATCAATTATAAAGCCTCTACATTTGATTACTATTACAATTAATACATGCAGTGGTAGTGCAGGGAGAACGTTAAGGAAGAATGACACAAATCTAGCAATGTAAGAGGTGAGACAGAAATATACAGTGAATGTTTTTAAAAAATGTATTCCAGTAAAAAACGCATTGCTGTTACTCCTCCTCAGAACATTCTACCTCTTTGAACACACTTACCCCACTGTTCTTGCCACCTGCTGTAGCAGCTCTGGAAGTCCTTTTTCTTCAAAAATAGGGTGAATGCTGCTGCTGAGTACCATCCAGTGGGAAGGCAGGCTCATAAAACATTACAGTGTGTTCTCATCTACTTTATCCACTGGTACTATGTGACTTCTAGCCTTTCCTTAAAATCAAAATGACTGTGAAAGGTAAATATTTTGAACAGATGGAAGACATCAAGGCAGCTATGTCAGGGCGACCAAAGAAACTCACGAAATAGAACTTCCGTAACTTGAGAAAAGAGCAAGAACAATGGGGTAAGAGTGTCTACGTGGGTCTGAATTAAGGGGGAGTATTCTGAGGGGAATTAACAACAATGTGTCTGTTGCTATTATAAAGTTTTTAAAAAAATTTAAATATTCACTGTATATTTTGATCATACCTCAAACTTCATTTTGCTGATGTTTTTGCAGGCTTACTTCTGCAGGTGAGGCTCAGATAATTAATTTGAAAACAACAAAATAAGATTATGTGGACAAAGCTAGACTCTTCCTAGGGCAAATGGCAAAATTTTCTGAGTAGGAAATTATTTCATCACCCCCTTACTGACCTCCAATACAATCTGCTGGAGTACTTTTTAATATGTGAAAGCAATAAAAGATAATACTATCTACATTTCACTGAAGTAACTTTTCAAGATAAGAAAAATAATACAGGCAATTACTAGCAAAGCCACTTGTTAAATGTATCAAAAATCCTTTCTTAGTGGCTAGTTATTTTAATAGGTGCATGATAGGCCCTGTGAGCTCTATTTTTATCTTTGAAAAGACAACTAAAAAGGGATTCTTAAAGTTTACTTTTATTATAATTTCCAACCTAACTGGGCCAGTATATGTGTGGTATAATGTAGTATGAAGAGTACAGGTTCTGCACTGTACATTTTTCAAAATCCAATGAATCATAATTATTTCAATTTACCTTAAGAAAGTAAATGTCATGATAATATGTATACTGTACCTTTCTCAGGCATTCATATTCCTCACGATGTTCCCCAGGCTTGCTCAGTTTGATTGGTGCTCTGAATATAAATTCTGCAGGAAAAGGAAAATAATTTTTAACAAGACTTAATATAAAGCACCAAGACCATGTCCTATTTACAAATAACATTAAAAACTGTGGTCATCTTGATTTCAATATTCATTCACTCATTTAGTAAGTTTATTAAAGGTTACAAATCAGGCACTGTTCTAAGTACTGGAAGAAGTACTGAACAAATGTAGTTCTTGCTCTCACGGTGCTCTATAAACTTAGGGAGGGAACAGACAACCAACAAATGTTTATACATACTAAAAGTTGTGGCATATTGCAGGGTGAAAGAAAAACCTTATTTATGTAGGATGGGCTGGTAGGGACTTACTGATAAAGTAATATGTACATTAAAACACCTCAGGGAAAAACTATATTCAAAGCTCTAAATTCAATGATACTAAGCAACATTTTAAATGAGCTCAAGTTATAATCATACTACTGTATTTTTCTATTTCTCAACACTGCTAAAAATATTTTCCTATATCTAACCTGTGTATAATCTTGTATATTTTCAGAATGTAACTTTTCTCTTTTTAACCCTAAAAGCCTTCAATGATTTTGACTTATCTACAGAATAAACTCAAAATACTTCAACATGACTTTTTCAAAGTCCTCCAGAAACTGATCACTTGAACTTTCCAAAATATTTTATCTTTCAACTCTTGACTGTCTAGTCACAAAAATACATATGCCATATATTTTTCAACTTTTATGCTGTTTTCCCAGCTGACATTTTGTCTTCTCTCCTTCTCTCTCTATATTTTTAAATCTAAGATATCAGGTCTACAGGAAGCACATAAGACATGTTCATTATATAAATGGATGATAAAAATTTAGAACAGGAATAAAATGTCTTAAATGCCATCAAAAAGGAGGAGAAAGTACACACTTCTGCTTTCCCTAAACATACATGACACTTTTTTGTAGCCTCTCTATATATTTAGTAGTCTAAATATAACAATAAGTTGAAAACTTACTGCTAACTACATTCCATTGAGGTTTGATAAATGTTCATGGAAAGTAAGGACCCCAAAATGTTGCTTTTGGGCTTTTTGCCCTTTTTTCTGTTGTCTCAACTATTTTACAAAGACAGAAGAATGCTGAAGATACTTAGATGCATTGCAATTTATGTAGATACAAAAAAAAAAAAAAAAGCCCAGTAACTTCAAGCTCTACCAAGTACTAAAGAATTGTTAGACACTGAGTTTGAAAGACAAACATTCCATGACCTTCACCCACTTAAAAAATTACTCGCAACTATTTTTGCTGTATCCTTTAAGCACACTTCCAATTACAAACAAACAGTATTTAAAATTAGATAGTGTAAAAGGGGGGGGGGCAGAAGCCTTAAAGCAAAAACAGTACTTTAAATGCATTTACTGAAAACCTATTATATGCAAGATTCTTTCCACATATTTTCTCAATGAATTTTCACAGAAACTTTATAGGGTAGGTACTATACCTGTACCCATTTTGTAATAAGGAAATTGAGGGGTTAAATGACTTGCTCAAGGCTACAAAGCTAGTGCCTAACTAAGGAGAAAAACTCTAATAGGAATAAAGAGGGAAATTATATGACTGAAAAGGCAACCAACTGAAGTTCAGCCAAATCTCTCTCCCCTACTACAAACTCCCATTGCAGTAGCTTCCCCTGAAAGTCCTCCTTACTACAGTTGAAAACAAAATCATTCATTTGTATAAACCCACACCACAGCAAAACAATTATAGTGAGAAATTAATCCAAAATTACAGTAGGGAATTTTAACATACCACAACTTTAAAAGATCAGGCAAACAAAAAGGCAGTAAATATACAGAAAAAATTCACAATAAAATTAATTAATTTTTGTTTGAGAAAGGGTCTTGCTATGTAGTCCAGGTTAGTCTTGAACTCATGGTGATCCTCCTGCCTCAGTCTCCTGCATGCTGAGATCACAAACATGTACCACTATGCCTAAAATTTTTAATCATATATATTTATATATGTATGCACCCCATGAATAAGGAAATACATTCCATGAATAGAATATACATTCCTTAAAGCAAATAAGGAAAAATTTAAAATATTAGTGATACACTAAGTCACAAGCAGGTCTCAAATTTTTCAAAGAACTCACATTACACAGACTTTGCTCTTGATTCAGGCTGCCATTATGTAAGTCTAATCTTCTACTTGTCTAGTGACTGTGTTACCCATATTATTCTTTTCTGAATAAATTCCTTTTCTGGTCAAACTGGGCATGGTAGATCTTTGTTCACTGCAACTAACAATCTTGGCAGATTCAATTTTTTATTTGAAATGGCCAGTAAATCAATACATAGTAAAACTGGTTGAGAAAGACACAGAGAGACAGAGAGGTGGAGAAAGACAGAGATAATATAAAATAATACTCAGAATAAAAACGAGAATGTAAATACAGATATCAGAAATGCATTTAAATCTCCAGAGACTATTAAAAACAACAGACTGGAGTTCAGCCAATAATGGTTGCTATAAGGAGTGATTATATATATATATATATATATATAATCACTTTGCATATCTGCAAGTATATCCTATGCCCATAGGATAAATTGCTGAAATCAGAATCACTGGGTAAAGAAATAATGGGCTTTTTAACAGATAATACCAAATCACATTTCCTAAAGCCTGTATCAATTCATAGTCCTGCTAGTAATGTATAAGAACGCCATTTCTTCACACCTTTTCCAACTCAAGGGTATTGAAAATTTTAACTCTGTCCATATAAAAAGTGAAATTAAGTGTCTTATACAATTATTTTGAGTGAAAATGTGTGCTTTTCATAGTTAAAAATAATTTATTTCTTTTGATATGAAATGCATGTGTATTTCCTTTATTCCTTCTATTAATTTTTCTTCTTGACTTTCTATGTAAGGAAAACTAGTCCTATGTCACATGAATAGTAATATTCTTCCTAGTTTATCTTTGTGCTGACTTTGGAGTTTTTCTTGTAGTTCTGTTACTCAATCTTTTTTTTTTTTTACAGCTTCTGCATTTTGTGTCTTATCTGGAAAGATCTCTATGCAAGCTACAACACATTCTATCATAACTTCTTCTGGTATAAATAAGATTAAACTCGTATCTACTCTAAAAAATTTGAAATCTTTATTTCTATATGGGGAGCAACATAAGTAGTATAATCTTATTTAGGCTTATAAATAAGTCTACTATCCAACACAAGAGACCAAAAATATATTAGTGATAGGCTGGTAGAAATGGTAATTTTAACTTACTGTTGGAGAATTGGCTCCTTCTAAAATGGTTCTTGCTGATATTTAGTACGAAGTGTCTCAAGAGCTTAATATTTTTATCTTTTATACAGTATAAATAATATAAAGTTAAAAACCTAGTCCCCAGTATAAAAGCTTTTGTGCTTTGGATAAAATCAATGTCAACTTCCTCTTCTGCAAAATCAGAGTAACAGTGAACATAATTCTGATTAATAATAACATTATAATGGGCTATTATATGGATCAAATGAATGCTATGAGAGTGAAAACAGAAATATTTCAGCCAGCAGAGTGGCACACAACACAATTTATCAGTATAGAACTGTCACTGAGCATAGTGACACGTTTATAATCCCAGAGACTCAGGAGTCTGAGGCAAAAGGATCACTAGTTAGAGGACAGCCTGAGCAACCAAACAAGACCCTGTCTCAAAATAAAAAATGAACAGGGCTGGAGATGTACTCAATGGTAGAGGATCCTGGGTTCAACCCCCAGAATTGCAAGATAAACATTTTTTTTAATCTCAAAGTTTACATCAGGCTAAGCAAGAACTCAGCATACTGACTGCAATCTTACCATGCCTCTAATTTGAAATAAGAAGGAAGGGATAAGAGTGAGGCAACGGTTTATATTCATCAAAAGTAGTACTGATATAAATCATCTTAATCTGAGGTTAGTTATTAATGAAGTTTTTGCTTTAAGTATACAAAATACTAAATAGTCAATATCATTTTTTGGTCCAACAAAATTGTACTGTATTAAACAACATCATGCCCAAAAACTTCAGAATTATATAAATAGCTTAAAGTATTTCTTGAATACTAAAACAGTTAAGCATAAAAAGTTGTAAATTGGTCCAATATAATATTAACTTAAACATTTAATCTTACTTTCTATGTTAAGAAATGCCTTCTAGAAATGCTTTTTTCCTTCCCTGTGAGCCTGGAAAAAGGGCAAACTATTGGGTTCAAATACCTGCTTTGCCAATTAAACAAAAGTATTTAGAAATGTCAGAGCTTCCCTTTGCCTTGGTCTCTTCATCTATCAAATGGAGATCAAAATACTAGCCAACCTACCTCATATGAAAGCAGAAGACCACAATTAAAAGTAGTAGTAGTGGTGGTAATCAGTGAAGAATCCCTACAATAAATAAAAACAGCTACCATTTAATCAGAGCACACTATATGCTAAATGTTGCACACACACATACACTCACATCTACAGAAAAGAGCTGACACAGCAGGCCTAACTACCTATCATATGCTTACAAAGCTGGCCCTTGGCTGATGGCTAAGAACTTGGATTTCAGGAGGGCCCCAGCCTCCCTAACAGTCAGGACTGATTCACTATCCCTAAAATGTATACAGAAATCAATATGTTGAATACTTGCTCTCCTGCAAAGAGCCTGAAATTTGTGAACATCGGCCAGGCGTGGTGACATACACCTATAATCCCAGCACTCGGGAGGCTGAGGTAAGAGGACTACTACAAGTTTGAGGCCAGCGGGGGCTACAAAGTGCATTTGATACCAGTCTGAAATGCATAGGGAGACCCTGTCTCAAAAAGACAAAAAAAAAAAATATTGTGAACAGGCTAGGAAGAGGGTGGCCATGTGATCAGCTCCCAATAAAAACTCTAAGGACTAAATCTTTAACTATGTTCCCTGGCTAGCAATATTTCCCACATGTTGTCACATCTCTTTGCTGTGAGAATTAAACATACCCAGTGTGCCTCCATTGAGATGACTGAAA